CCACTTGCCTGCACCACTTGACCACTTGCCTGCACCACTTGACCACTTGCCAACCTTCTAGAAGGACTGCAGCTAGCCTTCTAGTCTATAGGTCTACGGATCGAATCCTGGCTACCTATAGRCCTACGACAGACCTACCTACCACTGGCGGTTCTACAGGTCGCAGGTTCAACTCTTTGAGTTGACGCTGGTATTGTACACAGGTAAGTTGGGAAACTAGGGATCGAGCCCTGGGATCTACCTCAGCTACCACGAATTGGTGAAACCGTTTCACACCAAATTTTGAAAAAAAAATAAAATTTAAGTTTTTTTTATTTTTATTTTTATTTTTTAATTGTTTTTGGCCCGGCCGTGCAAGTGACCCCGGGCCACTCTGGTAGCCTAGATCACGGTGACAATTCGACACATTTTCCATTTCCGCCATTCAGCCGGTTTTTCACACTCTGCAAGGTTAGGGTTTGGACACAGACACATCCTGACATGCCAGCTGCCTTACACTAAGAAAAAGGCGGTCCCCAAGATCACACAAGGACCCAATTTACGTCAACGGTTATCTCATCGGGAAGTTGGGTTTCTCATCTGTGCATGGGTTCAAACCCCAGTTACACAGTTACGACAAGCTTCAAAATATTAATATTAAATTATTATTAATGTGTGTATGGGTGGGTGGGCAGCAGGCGAGGGTGCATGCATACTTGCGTGCATGTCGGCAGGCACAAAACGACAGGCAGAAAAAAGAAAAGGCGGGCACAGAAAGACAGGCAGGAAAAAGAAAAGACAGGCAGGAAAAAGAGAAGGGGGCCACAAAACAACAGACAGGCGGGAAAACAAAAAAAGAAAAGAGGGACACAAACATCCAAGATGTTCACCTGCCTGTCATTTTGTGCCTCTCCTGCCTGTCGTTTTGTGCCTGTCCTGCCTCTCATTTTGTGCCTGCCCACACACACACGCGCCTGCCCACCCGCACACCCAACCACCGGTGCGCAGGCGGGTGAGCGTGTGCGCAGGCACAAAACAACACGCAGGGAAAAGAAAAGGGGGGATGTGCGGGCAGGGGAGCGTGTGTGTGGGCAGGCACCTTTTCTTTTTCCTACCTGTCATTTTGTGCATGTCCTGCTTCTCTTTTCGTGCCTGCCAGCACGCCCCCCTTTTCTTTTTCCTGCCTGTTGTTTTGTGCCTGCGCACGCACGCTCGCCCGCCCGCACACCGGTGGGTGGGTGTGCGGGCGGGCCAGTGTGCGTGCGTGTGGGCAGGCACAAAAGGAGAGGCAGGAAAAAGAAGAGGGGGGCACAAAAAGACAGGCAGACGGGAAAACAAAAAAAGAAAAGGTGAACACAAAACATCCGAGATGTTCGTCTGCATCAACGCTCGCCGTGTGTAGCACCCCAGGGGCACACTCTCTCGTTTAATGGCGCGCTATGAACATTTCGGTATCCCCTCTGCATGCTCCGTCACCCCTCCCCAAAACTGACTGTCACCAGGAATTGAACTGCAGTCCTGTTTACCGACAGGTCAATGTGTTTGCCATCATCAACAGATCAGGTACGAAGCTCCTCACCTTTTGCGCATCCGGTACAGAGGTGCGACTAAGGACACTTCCACCACAGGATGCTCATTGCCAAACAGAACTGCCCAATAAACCATACTCAGAGGAAGAAGAGGACAACAACAACGGGCCGTGACAAACTGTTTCCTTGGAGTTTCAGCTACTCATGTATATATATAGGGCCTCGCTGCAGCGGCTGCACTACTCTCGAAATGTGCAAGACGATAGTGAATCTTCCTCTAGAATATGGAAAGATACACGGCCGTGATTTTTGTCTTTTGTGGATATCTAGAGTAGTGCAGCGAGGACCATAGGGCCTCGCCACACCACTCTCGAATCTCGAAAATTCGTGAGTCGGGCACCGCCACACAGCAGCCGTCGAAAAAAAAACTCGAAACTGTTCGAGAGCTGTCAGGAAGTCGTTTTCGAGTGCCCTCTCGAAACCATGTTTTCGCCCAGCCTGCAGGGTTCGAGTTTTCGTGATACCGCCCCTCTGCGCTCGAGTTCCACGTCCATTTCGAGAGTTGTCAGGCCGTTTGTTCGTGATGCCGCCCGTCCGTACTGGAGTTCGTCCATTTCGAGAGGCCGGTCTAGTGTGCTATGTGGCGAAGGGCCATTTTCTCTTGAAAACCGGCCTCTCGAAAAGTCCTGACAGCTCTCGAATATTTTCAAGATTCGAGAGTGGTGTGGCAAGGCCCATAGTCAAACAGAGCTGCCCGGTAGAGGACAGCAAAGGAGGGGCTGTGACAAACTGTAAATATACATACATATTATAATATATATTATTATAAAAAAAGATGAGCCTTTTTTTTCCCAGTATTTTATATATATTAAAAAGATGAGCTGTATTTATATATTTATATATTTATATATATATTTATATATTTATATATATTAATCATTTATTGATTTGTATTAAAAAACGATGAGCCTTTTTTTTTCCCACTATTTTCACAATCGAATTCACTTAGTATTTTGCTTCAAGGCAAAAGGAGGCCCTCCTTAATCAACCTGGAAAGTGACTGGGACCATTACCCAGCTTCCATGCAGAGACTGAGGATATTCTTCTAGGGAATTCAGTTTGGCCAAAACCAGGCCGCTGCTCTGAGAATTCTCAGCTCCGGTACAACAGACTGTCCACTAGGCCACAAAGCCAGAAAATCCAACAACTTGTATTCCTAAATAGGGCATGCCGCATATTATATATGAACTCAACATCCCCGGTAGGATGTATTCGTACATAATTCGCATAGTACCTTATGTTGGGACAGTTGGGGGAAGATGATAGTTGGATGTCACACACATAAGATGAAAAAGGAGCGGGGGGGTGGGGGTGGGGGGCGTAAAGGGGAAAATAGAAAGAGCAAAAAAACTCTGAAAAGTGCCTGAAAGGCATGACAATCACTGACAGTCATCTAGACTGAAGTGCAACATCATGAGCCAAAAAGAAAATTCTCAATTTTAAAAGAAATTGCCCTGGCACGTGTCCTCCATGGAATGCCCCTGCATCTGGCCTCTATCCAGAACTTTTTTTTTTTTTTTTCCCTTTAAAAAGCCCAGGTTGTTGTAGAGGCCGGGTCCCAGACACACGGTGCATCAGCCAGCCATTGGTTGTCCTGACAGTTGCTCCATTGGTGAGACCGCCTCCCGAGTCCCAACCCATCCTCTCATCAATTCTCCCATCGCACCTCCTATTCCTACCATCCTACCTCAGTGTTAATCACGTCGGACTATCAGCTCATTATCTCAGGGCATGACTTGGACAGAATAGCAGTTACAGGCACCGCCACAACTGGCAGCACCAGCTGGAGTTTCAAAGGGATTGAAAAAAAAAACAAGCATTCCGGCCTCATGGCCTCCATGCAGCCCCCTCCCCTTTCCTAATCTGGGAATCCTTCCCTTTGTGACCCCTCTGGATCATCATTTGCACCCCTCCATGAGCACATGCCCTCCATGCAATCCCTCTGCATCTGGCTGAGATCAGTGGTTCTATTCAGTGCAGGAATGATGGCGGGACCCTGCAACGTAATGATCAAGATTTGCACCCACGTTGAGCTTCCCTCCAAGGAACCCGCTGCCTCTTCCTAATCTGGACAACCTCCCCCTTGTTCGCAGCCCGCCAGGGGTGCGTTTTGTTCCCCTGAGATTTTCAAAGTCCTTGAACGTCAGTGGTTGTCGGGGAGGGTGGGCATTTTGAGGTTTTGGGGCCTTGAAAGGGGTGGGACCGCGTACGACCGGTAGCTGGCCGTAGGAGGCCCAGGACTCGGCGAGGAGGCCGCGGTCCTTGAGTTTTGAACATTTCGAAATCGAAACGGCTTGGGTCCACTTTTCTCCAATAGCAGAGCACTCCAAATAGAACATCCGAAAGGAACATGTACCCCTTCTATTCGAATTTCGAAAGAAAATAAACTTTTGTATTCCAATAACATTACTTTCTTTTTTCTTTTTTTTTTTGAGGTCACGGCCTGCCCTTGTGCTCCCCGCCACTGCTCTCTCTCTCTCTCTCTCTCTCTCTCTCTCTCTCTCTCTCTCTCTCTCACACACACACACACACACACACACACACACACACACACACACACACACACACACTCACTCACTGCTCACTCACTCACTCTCACATACACACTCACACACATTCTCCTGTCAATTGATGGGGAGCGCCACCTGCTGCAAACTGGGTCCAGCGTCCCATGAACATCCTGAATAAAGCACCAACCACGACCCCACAGACACGTGAATAAAGCACCAACCCGGACCCCCCCCCCCCACACMCACACAACTGCCGCCCCCCCCCCCTCCACACACACACACTCTCTTCCAGTTGTGTATTATAGAGAACATGGCCAATCATACACACAGCATAATCACTACCTTACCATTTCCCAACCACATCAACAAACAAACTACCGGGTGCGCACCCGTGCCGTCACCGTAAGTCAATAAGCCCTCCCCGCAAACCCCTCTGGATGATCATTTGTACCCCTCTATGAGCACATGCCCTCCATGGAATTACTCTGCATCATCTACCTGAGATCACTGGTTCTATTTCAGTACAGGGACGAGGGCGGGACCCCGCAACGTACTGTACTGATCAAGATTGGCCCCCGCGTTGAACTTCCCTCCACGGAGCCCGCTGCCTTTTCCTATTCCTAATCTGGACAACCTTCCCCTTGTGAGCCCTCCTCGCAAACCTCTCTAGATCATCATTTTCACCCCAGGGCGTCCACGAGTAGATAACACGGCCATTCAAAGGCTGCACGACCCGGTAATTGTCAATCCGTTCCCCATTTAAACTGTGGATAAAGTCCCGGATTCGATCCAGGTGTCGACGGCAGATCGGCAGGGGCTGTTTGAAGATGTACCAGAGAAGGCCCTCCTCGCAGGGAGGAGTGGTCAGGCTGCCTGGGTAAAAGTGGAAATAACGTCCGTCGAGGGGCAGGAACGCACGGAGGGAAAAGGACGGACCCACGTCCACAGACATGCTGTCCCTCACCGATCGTTGCAGCAGATCAGGCAGCGCAGCCACTATCTTATCTAAGAACGGAGAGCATATCTCAGACTCGTCTCTGTTCATCAAGATCCCCAAGACGGCGAACACTGGGACACGAGAACCAGACCGCTGGTGCACGCAGTGCATTTCTAAGTCCGCTTGTTTGCTGTCGACAGAGGTCTCCGAAAGCGAATGAACGTGACACTCCACAAGCTTCAACTTGAGCCATTTCGTGCCCGACTTCGACTTGCGAGTACTGCTACTACCACTCTCGTCCTCGCCATCGCCATCGCCATCGCCTTGATCCTCGCCGCCATAGCCATCAGCTTCACCATCGCTGCCGTCTTCATCATCTTCATCACTGTCGCTATCGTTGACGTCATCTTCGTCATCCTTGCTGGTGGTAGCCGACCCTCCAGGGCCGTAGTTGTTAGGGTCCCACGTTGAAGAAGACTGGGGGTCGAAAGGCTTCTTCATCTTGAACATCGGAACCTTGACGTAGCTGTGTGTTTGGGGGAGAGAGAAGAAGAAGGTGCCGTTGTCATGGAAGAGGGACAAATTGCCCTTCAGGACCGGATAGTGAGCTCTGGAGAGGAGGTCTCCTAGCTGTGGCGCGTCAACCACCTCCCTCACGTCGATGTTTACAGGGGTCTGAAATCGACAAGAGGGGTCTGTGCAAATGCCCGGCCAGTCGCGGCCGGCCATCTCGTAATCGAAAGAGAATGAATGACGAGGAGGGGAGTTGGGAGGTAGTGGGGGGGAGAGAGAGAGATTAGACGACGAAAATGGCGTGAGCATTTCCAAAGCGCGAGGACAACTGGAGGCAGTTTGCACTTGGTATGCGAAGACGATGAGCAGCAGGACGAAGAGGCTTATTCGGAAGGAGGAGGAGGAGGAGGGAGAAAAAGAAGACGGGGGGAACCGACACTCTGTGCATCTTGATTCCATAACTACAGCCATCTGTGCACTCGGAAAGCTAAAGTAAATGCAAAGAGAGCTCAAACCAACAGAGGCCTATCTCAGTTGGTACACCTTAAACTGTTGAAACACAGACCTGTGTTCGAGCTCCACTGACTGAAGCAGATGAGTAAAAACAGCGGGTTCGACCCTCGCGCTCGCGCGCGCGCACGCGTGTGAGTGTGTGTGTGTGTGTGTGTGTGTGTGTGTGTGTCTGTGTGTGTGTGTGCGTGTGTAGATACACTCTGCGTTAGCTTCGGCACATCATAGAGACGCCCCGATCACCATAAACTTCAGGGAGGCATGAGGACATTGGGCATTCATCATATTCCCGAATCGATTTATGATTCAATGCAACACGTTGTCTCACACAATCCTTTCGGCAGCAGAGTCGTAAAGAGAGAGAGAGAGAGAGAGAGAGAGAGAGAGAGAGAGAGAGAGAGAGAGAGAGAGAGAAGGACAACGCTTACAGGGTACGTGAGTCACCTAACTCGAAGGCGTTAACGTCGGCCAAGCAAAGGTATGCATTGCCTGTCGGGGGAGGTTAACTGGTCTCATAGCCCCAGTGCGAAATGGATTCCGATGCGAACCCGAGCGAGGAAGTCGGCCAAGTGCAGGTGGAGGGGCTCGAAGAAGACGATCCAAAGATCCAACGACTGGAGGAACGAATCCAGTGCAGATAGAGTTCACGACAAAAAATACCTGCAGACGGCGCAGCATGAACTACCGGGCTCAACAGCTGGCCGACGACGAATACACCTTCAGTGAGAATCAGGCGCTAAGGCGTGAAGGAGAGATGCTTCCGAGAGGAGCGCAGGTTGTCACAGAAGCGCGAAGGAAAAGAATCTTCCTCTCGACCTCCGATTGTTCCCCAAGTGCGAAGGACGATGCTGAGGATGCTCTACGAAGCCTGAGCTCTGCTTGACATCGCCAGTTCTCGCCGAAGCCTTAAGGAAGATGTCCCAAGAACACACACACACACACACACACACACACACACACACACACACACACACAAACACACACACACACACACACACAGAGAGANACACACAAACACACACACACACACACACACAGAGAGAGAGAGAGAGAGAGAGAGAGAGAGAGAGAGAGAGAGAGAGAGAGAGAGAGAGAGAGAGAGAGTAGAGGGTCAGTGCGGCCACAAGGCTAATATGCCGAAACGGTTTATATGGTGGACATTCCTATACGAAGTTACCTAGGTTGTATATAGAACAGAGGCCAGAAATTGCGCACAAGAGTCGGCATTATCTGGGATAATTGGTAGTACAGCCCACTGGAGGAATCAGTGGCATTATCTGGGATAATTGGTAGTACAGCCCACTGGAAAACCTTTTCCATTATTTATTTATTCATTTTTTAATTTTTTTTTTGGGGGGGGTGGAACATGACCAGCTTCAGCCTACTAATGGGGGTCATATGAGCAGCCTTTCCTAGTAAACGTGGCGCTGGCTGCCCCAGTCCATTGGTGGGGGGCCGTCCCTGCTGGGAATCGGGTTCAGCGTCCCAAATACAGTAGGACTGATGACCTCGTCTTTGACTGATCAGTCAGGCCCAAATTTTCTTGGTCAATTGCAAAGGGCCTAGTACCGGAAATGAATCTGGCAAAAATACGGTGCCACTTTCCTAATCGAGTACAAGGAGGGGCCACCAGATGCAAACATCGGACGGCCTGAAAGGCCCTGAAATGCCTGTGGGCCCTCTGTAGTAAGTCCTTACCCAACAGGGAAACTTTGGCCGCGACTGATCCAATAGGTTTTCAGGTGGGACAAAAAAAAAAAAAAAAAAAGGTTTTCAGGTGGGACGTATCAACCCATTATCCCATCTGTTTTGCTGACAGTGTGGTATTCCTGCCTTCAGAATAGTCCAATTAGAACTTTGACATTGCCCGCGGGCGGAAACCAGCAACAGCATTCAGTGAATGGAAACAGGCCTTTGCAATCAACAGGCAGTCATTCTTCTGTTTGATGAATGCTGTTCTGTCAGTGTCTTCCACAAAAAGAGATGATGCATTTCCTCTAACTTAAAGGGCACAGTATTACTCACACAAGGACTTTTTTTACTCAGCTCTGGAGCTATTTGGAGTCCGATGCACCCACGCCGGACTGTGATTGCAGTCAGGTCCATCCAGAAAAGTCCTAGTGTAACTGTCACAAACTGTCTAAGTACAGCCTAAGATCCACATCAGAATTTCCAGACCTCTTGTTTGGTAGATCTGACCTACGGTGGAGGGTGAGCAGCTTAATGATGGAATAGAAGGCCTTGGTAGATGTTCATTTTTCTATCTGGCAAGTCAGTGGCGACCCTTCAAAAGGCTGAAGAGGCAGGTTTTCCTGTTTTTCTCAAACCGCATTCGCAGTCGATTCATAAGGGCAATCAATGCTGCAGCATCTCCATTACTTGAACTCCTATGTGCTGTCAAAATGTTCCATGGGACGCTAGGCCCTATTCCTAGCACGGGAATACCCCAGACCGCAGATGGACATCCGATGTGTTTTTTTAAATTAAAATTTAAAAAGGCCTTTGGCCTCCATTGTATCTGTGTGCATTTGTCGTATCTCTGTGTGTGTGTGTGTGTGTGTGTGTGTGTGTGTGTGTGTGTGTGTGTGTGTGTGTGTGTGTGAGAGAGAGAGAGAGAGAGAGAGAGAGAG